TGAGGGTTTGTGGGGCTCCCTTTGGTGAAGCACCTCAATTCCTGCACTCCATTCTGTGCAGAAACGGATTAATAAAGTATAATGAACAGAACTCAAAGAACAGCCTGTCCGACAGAGACTGCAGAAGTCCTGTCAGTTGAACCGGCGCAAACTGGCCACATTCTGACAAGTCATTTTGTACATTCACACAGACACAAACAACTAAGAGCAGCTGCCACGCTTCTGTGTCCCTTCTGGAAACAGTCTGCCATTAAAATGGAGTTTCAAGCACACTTCATAGCAGTGGTAACCAATGTGGCTCCCTCCACATTCTGTCGGACTCCAACTCCCATCAGCCCCAGTCAGCGTGACCAGGGATGATAGGAGTTGTAGTCCATCATCAACTTAGCAACATCACATTTGCCACCCTTGTTCTGTGGCAAATCACAAGTTTGTGAAAAGGTAAAACTAAATAAAAGTGATGCTACATCTGCAGGAAAACATATTCTCCCCTCTCAGTTCAGTCTTTCCTGCCTTTTCTTCAAGCTTGGTGGCCAATATGAACTTTACCCTGTGTTCAGATCTTTCGGGGAGATACTCTGTTCCTATTTCTACAGTGGTACCTCGGGTTAAGTACTTAATTCGTTCTGGAGGTCCGCACTTAACCTGAAACTGTTCTTAACCTGAAGCACCACTTTAGCTAATGGGGCCTCCCGCTGCTGCCGCGCGGCCGGAGCACGATTTCTGTTCTCAACCTGAAGCAAAGTTCTTAACCTGAAGCACTATTTCTGGTTTAGCGGAGTATGTAACCTGAAGCGTATGTAACCTGAGGTACCACTGTATTGCCTTATTCTTTCTTCATTTTAAAATGTTTCCTTTAAACTTCTCAAAATATATTTCAGACAAGTTGGGGGTCCAAATTTCCACTCACGCTGCAAAGCTCACGGGTTAAACTTGGGAAAGTAATGACGTCTGAGTCTAACCTGCCTCCCAGGGTTCTTGGGTTAACACCCTGAGCACCTTGAAGGAAGGGCAGGATTCAGTATCATAAATGCAATAAATGAATTAAATCAATAAAACATATCGCGACTGTTTTTCCCCTTGTCTAATGTATAGGTTGTATGGCACATCCTTTTTATAATAGTTTTATGAGATGGTTGTTAATTTTAAAAGCTGTGACTTTGAACGTTTCCTTGTGAGATGTATTGAGGGTTCCACTGGGACTCTAAGGCGGGATAAAAATGTTAATAATTTTAAAAATGCCATTATGGTGCTACTTTCCTTCAAAGGGGCACATTATTTTACATTTCAGCACCGTAAACGCTACTCAGCAGCTAGAAGATCTCCTCCCCATTCATTCCCTAACTATCAGAAGTAAAATGGAAGGAAATATGGATAAATCCAAGACACGCCTCTGGACTGAGAGCCATTACTGAAGTTAACAGGCTGACAGACATAACATTATTTTTATTTAAAATAAGAAGAATTTTCACAATGATATTCCAATGTGTTTTTCTAGCGCTGGCCTCAGTGGGGAGGAAGGATAGGTAAATCCAGGGAAATCTATTTCCAATTCAATTTCTGTGGAACCCCTTTTCCACAAAGAAATGTGGTTACTAGAATGCAGTAGAACCAACCACAAATGTATATTGTTCTGAAATGGCAAGATAATAATGGCCAAGCCCAATGGCAGCTCAGCCTTCTGTTAAGCCAGAGGTAGGCAAACGAAGGCTCCATCTTCTCTGGAGCTGTTTATCCTTCCCTCCCCACCCCCCACCCCGGAACAATGCAAAAAGTCCTGATATGGTGGCAAATAAATCCTGATACGGTCCATAGATCTTATACCCATTACACCTGAACTGTCCCATTGGCATTATTATTTGAATATCCACAATACGTGGAGTCGGGCCATTGATCTATTGCATCAGGCCATGAAGCTACCTAGCTCAGTAACGCTATCAATGGCTATTTAAGGTCTAGATGCTTTACAATGGAGGTGACAGTGACTGAATCTGAGGCCTTGCATATAACAAAGCAACGTTTTGCTTCAAATCCATCACTTCTGCTCGCTAATAGAAACATAGGAAGCTGTCTTGTATGAAGTCAAGCCAACAGCCCAACTAGGTTATTACTGTCTACACTCTGGGATTTGACAGGATTTTTCTCCTAGCGTTACCTGCAGAAACTAGAGATTGAAAATAGGTACTTCTGCATCTCTACCGCTGAGTCCTTCCTCTAATACAGCCTAGAAAGCATAACAGTGACTCCACGGATAACACGTTCCCCAGTATTCTTAAAACAAAGCAGACTACGGCCAGGCCAAATGATGCCCATCTTTTAAAAACTACTAGATATCAAGCGATGCCCATTGTCATCTCTTTACAGAAGCATTCCTAGTAGAGCAATTGAGCCATGGAAACTATCCAGTGACAGGGGACAGGGAAAGAAGAAATATCCGCTATGTATATCCATGGAGCTCCTGAGTTGGAAAAAACCCAGTGGGTCATCTTGCCTAACCCTGAGGTTGCATCCCCACATATCCAACCGATTGATATCTTTTCTTGAAACAACTCCAACCACAGCACCAAAACACTTAGAGAGATCTCTGTCTGTTTCCTGTTTCCCTGCGATTCCTCCCTATTCCCATCATTCCATCCCCGCTCCCATGTTCCCTAAAACGATTCCATGACATTACTGCAAGGATAGGATAGCAATAACAAGAAGAAGAAGATATAAGGAGGAATAGGGAATAAGGGGAAACCATTTTTCCTAGTGCCCATTCTTATTCACCCACCCACCCACCCACATATACATATACATATACATATACACATACATATACACAATATTGCATACATATATTGTACACACAGAGACATCTGGTGAGAGAGAAAGCAGGAGGGCGAGCACAACGGTATTAGAAAAAAAGCACACCAACTGACAAGATACTTTAACTTAGTAGACGATGTGCCTCTCCCAGCCATGGTTGTCAAGACTGGTCCTATTTTGTGTGGCATTTGAAGAAGCTCAGGGGAATTCAAGTGTGGGGGGGGGGGAGATAAAAAGACTGATGGCCGTATTCAGTGTATCCTACTCCCAGAGTAGTCCCATAGAAATTATTGGACATGACTAACTCAGACTCATTAATTTCAATGGATTGCAACCTTGACTGTTTTCTGGACTATACGGACTAAGAAAAGTGGGAGGTCTCTTCTTTGCAGTCTTGTGGATGTGTCTGTAGGACAACTGGAGAAGAAACACCTAGAGGAGTAGCTTCCATCTTGCCTACTGATGTACCGTATTTTTTGCACCATAACACTCACTTTTTTCCTCCTAGAAAGTAAGGGGAAATGTCTGTGGGTGTTATGGAGCGAATGCCTGCGGGTGGCGGGGGGGATCTGCTGCAGTCGTGAGCAGAGGATCCATGGTTCCCCTTCCTTCCCTCCTCTGTGGTTACAAAGCATGGATCCACATGGATCCTCAGGATTTTTGCATTGGGCTACTCCAAACTCACTGTCAGATCACATGTCTGTGGCCACAGCATGAACCACAAAAATCATATATCCACTATTTTCGTTTAGAATATTTTTTTCTTGTTTTCCTCCTCTAAAAACTACGTGCGTGTTATGGTCTGGTGCGTGTTATAGAGCAAAAAATACAGTAAGTTCTCTTTCTCTCTCCCCCCAGGTACTGAGCCAGGAAGCCTAATGTTCAAATTTTGCCTCATCTTGGAATTCACTAGGCAGCCTTAGGCAAGACGCTACCACCTCATCCTTCACCTCCCACCTCCAATTTGTAAAGCAAGAAAAGCGGCCTACTTTGCTGGACTGTTGTCCGTGAAGCGCTATAGAGCCTCATAACTGTTAAGTACAGAGTTGAGAAGGTGCCTCCAATCACTGGGCTTTCTCGCTAGGTGCCTGACGTACTGGGGGGTGGCTCTGGAGAGAAGCAACATCTCCTTAATGTTCTACTGGATTGCGGCCTTTCAGGGTGCCTGTTCTATGAAACGTGAAACCTTCTTCCAAGAGGAGAGATTGAGAAGTCCTCCTGCTGTCACTTAAAAGACTGAAAAGAAGCCACCTTCCACGGAAAAGACCACGGCTTGGGAGGTGCTGTGGCCTCGCCTGTGCATTCCAGTCTCCATTCATTTGCACAAATAAGCGAAAGGTTTTTACAAGACCCATCTACTCCGTGGAGGGTGTGAAGCACCAGACCTTGCCCTTCATAAGAGGCACCCTCCTTGTCACCCCCCACCTCCACCCAGGAGTAGCGCTACTAGACTATAACTCTCCAGAAGGACACACTGGAATGTCAGACTCCTGGCTCTCTGGCCGGGGCTGCAGGAATCGGTTCTCTGAGGTCTAGTGGAGCTTCTACATTATGAGGGGGTCTCCTATGGCAGAATGCAGCTTGGGTGAAGGGGCAGAATTAAACTGGGTGTGTGTGGATGTTCTCTTTGGGGTTCTCCTTGAGGTTCTGCAGCAGCAAGGGGTTACTCTGCCCGGGGTTCTAGGCGTCTTCTGCTGTCAGGCCCCGCGGATCCGGCGCAGGGAGCGGACTTGTTCCACGGGGCTCCACCGTGGAGTTGGCCATCTCTGCTCCGGGGAGGCGTTTCTTAGGGTCTCCCTAAAAGATCTCTTCCGCAGAGCCAGCGCTCTTATGGGGACGGGAGTCGCCAAGAGCCCGGGCAGTGGTGTGTGTTTGTGAGCGCGCGCTCGCTCGCTCGCGCTCGGGTGCCTTTTAAACCACGACCTCCCGGGCTAGGGTGGGTGGGGGTACCTCCTCTCCTGCGCGTGGGGCTCCTGTCGCCCGATCCCTCCTGCATTCTGACATCCCCGTTCCCTACTTCGCGCCCTCCTCCCCGCAACCATCCTCCTCTATAGGGAGAGAATGAGAAGAGATGGCCAGGCGCCCGCCAGCCCGCTCGCCGTCCCACCTCCCTCGCCCCCGAACGCACGATGGGTGTCGAATGGATGCCGAGCAGGCGAGAGCGATGGGGCTCCCGGGCTCCTCGCACTTACCGGGCTCCGGCAGCGAGGTCGAATGAAGGGGGGAAGGAAGGAGAAGGAGGCGCAGGAGAGGCTCGGAGAGCCAGCTGTAGCAGCGGCGGCGGCAGCTGCACAACTCCTTCTTCCTCTCCCTCCCTCCCTCCCTCCTCCTCTTCCTTTTTCTCCCCGGGACTTCAAAGATGGGGGAGCGGGAAAACAGGATCGCAACCCCCCCCTCCCCCGCCGTACCTCCAGCCTCCGAGTGGCGTCTGTCGGCGGCGCCCCCCCCCCCGCCTCCGGGTTCAGGCGCCGCCGCCCGTGCCTGCGCGCTCGCCCATCGCAGCGCCCGCCCGCCGCCTGCCGCCTTGGCCACCTCCCATTTCCGAAGAGCCCAGTACGCGCAAGCAGCCCCCTCCCTCCCTCCCTCTCCCTCTCCCCCACCCCTCTCTTTCCCTCTCCCTCTCCGCGCAAGAGCGCATCGATTGCACCCGCCGCTCGCCAGCAGGGGGGAAAGAACTGTTTGCGCCTTAAAGCAAAACGATGGCGAGGGCGCAGGAGTCGGGACATGTTATATAACGCTTTTTAAAAGGCGAGGCGGTGGGGCTGGAGGGGGAAGGGGTTGGTGCCAGCAAAGGCGAGATCGCGGGAGAGAAATGGGGGCGGACGGGTGCAGGGGGACGGGGTGATGGGGTGCCCAAGGATACGAGGCCTTCTCTCGGGCCTTCACCCCCCCCCCCATTGCGCGCAGTATTGACCCACACAGGGGTGCCAACTTGAATAAAATATTGGGGGGCCCAGGTAAGTCCCGCCCCACATAATCGATCACATGACACGGCGCGCGCGCACACTATTTGGATGGCAATAGCCATCAACTTTGCGGGGGGGGTGTGCAGCCCCCTTCAGTATTTTATTTGGGTTGGGTGAAGGTACCTTCGGCCTCTATGAACTGGTTCCAATGGACCCACATGTTTTGGCGCTGCATACTGTGCCGGAGTGTGTGCGGGGGTGTCGCATTGAGGGTACCCAGCTCCGTGAAAGTTTCATTGGGGAGGAAATCCCACTGGGCTGCAGAGCGTTTGCTGCCAAGGCTCTGCAAGATGTCTATGGGATCGGGGCTGCGTAAAGCTGGCGAGCGGCACCTTTCCGCTTTTCACGGACGGCTATGTCACCTCTCTCTTCCTTCCAGAGCATACGTGCAAATCTGGGAGGATGCGGGGGGGGGCAGTGGTGGTTTCAAGGGAGACCCGTTCAAACGAGAAGGAGAAGGGAGTTCGGAAGAGAACGACAAAATGGGGAAGAATATTAATCTGTCTCCGGCTACAGACGCTCCGAAATGGCTGTGGTTGGAGCTGAGGTCCCCCTGGCTGCCTGCTTCCCCCTCCTTCCCAAGCCCCCTGCCCCCAACGCTCCCCCCCTCCTTTCTCTTCCCAGCTTTCCTGCCATTTCTCCTCCCCTCTCAATCCCCAGTACAAAGGAATGGGAGATGCCTGGAGCTTTTTTTGGCAAGGCAAGACTCGGGAGCAACAGAATCTAGGAGCGGGGGAAAGGAAGGAAGAGACGGATCGGATCCCGTAGGAACTGGATTCCGAGCAAACACTGTGCTCTGGAAAAAGGCACGGACGAGGGAAGGAGCCTCTGTAGAAGCGGTGATGGCTGGCACCACGGAGGAGGTGGGCACGTAGCGGGAGGTGTAATAAACGGAGCCAATTCAAGGGTGCATTCAGACCCGCCACTAATGCCGCTAATGATCCCCGCCCTAAGGTTTGGCAGTTCTTGTCATTTAACTTGTCAAAGGGTTTTGGACATTCAAGGCTGCCAGCTATGGGAGCTTACTGTTTTGCTGCCCTGGGTGAAAATGAAATTGAATCACTTCTTTCCCAAAGAGCTTTCAGGAGTGCGGCCCCTTTTCCATGCAACCAAATGGAGTCTGAAGGAAAAGAGCTGCAACCAGCAAGACCTTTGCAGAGGGAGCACCATCACCCCTTCTTCAGACTTTCCTTGGGACAACAGGGACTTTGGTGGGGAGAAATTGCATTTTCCTTCAAATATTTACCCACTTGCACTCTTAGGGACTCCGCTCTGGATTTGTGTGGGGTTAAGCCCGGCTTCCTCAACCTCGGCCCTCCAGATGTTTTGGGCCTACAACTCCCATGATCCCTAGCTAGCAGGACCAGTGGTCAGAGATGATGGGATTTGTAGTCTCAAAACATCTGGAGGGCTGAGGTTGAGGAAGCCTGGGTTAAGCCTTTTCTTCTCCTGAAGATATTCTGCAAGGCAACGGAGGTTTAGGATCAGAGTTTCCCTTCTCCTAGATGAGCTACCTTCTCAGGTTGACGAGCCCCATCTGCCCCTCACTTCCCTCTACAGCAGGTGCAGAAACCACCTTCCTGAGCAGGCTTCCTCAACCTCGGCCCTCCAGATGTTTTGGGCCTACAACTCCCATGATCCCTAGCTAGCAGGACCAGTGCTCAGAGATGATGGGAATTGTAGTCTCAAAACATCTGGAGGGCCGAGGTTGAGGAAACCTGTTCTTGAGCGCTGGACCCACTGTTGGTTTTGTCCGCTAAATCCACCAGAGCCTGTCTTTGCATACAGGGGAAGTCCCTAACTCACCAAGGGTTTGAGATCCATCAACTGCCCTCACCTGGTTTAGCTGGCCAGTTGAAGCTGTTTCCCAGGGTGTGGCCACTATCACATGCTGACAGCTCCTAGGAGCCACAGGTGAGAGCTGAGTGCAGGGTGGGACCAAAGGTGGACAAACCAGGAGGAGCACAGTGTGTCCTCCATCAGAGGTACGACCCATCCCCTAACACACGACTCCCATTATCCCTGATCAACGAACATGCCAGCTGAGGCTAATGGGAGTTGTAGTCCAACAAAATGTGGATGGCCACATGCTGGCAACCCCAGATCTAAATAAGGAAGAAGAAGAGGTAGTTTAATTTTGCTTAATTTAAGAATGGTACAAAATACACAGGTGTTACGCCACTCATCTCTACCAATGTTACATGGTGGCATGTCCAAGAGGTAGTCATGAAACTTGTTCAGTCATATTCTACCTGGTAAAGGTAAAGGTACCCCTGCCCGTACGGGCCAGTCTTGCCAGACTCTAGGGTTGTGCGCCCATCTCACTCTATAGGCCGGGAGCCAGCGCTGTCCGCAGACACTTCCGGGTCACGTGGCCAGCGTGACAAGCTGCATCTGGCGAGCCAGCGCAGCACACGGAATGCCGTTTACCTTCCCGCTGGTAAGCGGTCCCTATTTATCTACTTGCACCCGGGGGTGCTTTCGAACTGCTAGGTTGGCAGGCGCTGGGACCGAACGACGGGAGCGCACCCCGCCACGGGGATTTGAACCGCCGACCATGCGATCGGCAAGTCCTAGGCGCTGAGGTTTTACCCACAGCGCCACCCGCGTCCCCTATTCTACCTGGTAGTCACACAAAAAGTGATAGCAGGGAGAAAGACAGCATTTCTCCAGGAACTGCATGTTAATGTAGTTTTCCCATAACAAAAGCACTTCCTGGAGGGGAAATGTCAGGCACTCCCACCCCCAAAATACACCTCAATAACAATTTCACATTTATTGTTTGGGGGGGGGAGACATATGGGGGGGGACCCTAAGAAATCATGGAGAAGAAGATGCAACTTTTCTAGATAGGACATAAACAAAACGGACTGGTTGAAGGAAAGTCACAAGATTGTAAGTCATCATAAGAGCCAGAGAAGGAAGATTTAAAATCCCTGGGGCCTAGGAAACAAGGAACCTTGGAATATTATTATTATTAATTTCTTTGGCACCCAATTTCAAAATGTTTCTAGGCAACTTGCACACACAATTAAAAGCAACGATTAAGTTTAATATCTACACACAGCCATTAGTTGGCATCTAGTGGGCCAGGCACCATTTTTGAGTTGGAGCTTGATCTAAGCTTGGTTGCTACAAGAGCATGACCACATGAACAAAACAACCAGTTTTAAAATAAGAAGTGGGTCCCAATTGCATCTTTTGGCTAAAGGTGGCTTCCAGACTGATGACTGACTAAATAATGTCACTTCCATTTGCTATATAGTTAAGTCAGGTCTACAAATGTAGCCGATGGGAGATCTTTTCGAATTCTCCCTTACATCAAAAGCTCCCTGAAAGTTGAAACAGGCTAGACTAGAAATGTTCGCCTTATACATTAAAAGCTCCCTGAAAGTTAGAACAGCGGGAAACAGGCTAGACTAGAAACATTCACCTCATTTGCCAAGTTATTTTACTCACAAGGTGGCTTGCTTGGCTTTTTTTTTTTTTAAAAAATAATAATAACTCATGCCACTGAACTATAAATGGCATTTCTCATCTGCAGTCTGAAGTGGTACAGTTAACCTCAGGATTCTTATTGCCTCATTCTGCTCCTTGTATAGGCCAAACCTGAATCTGTCCCTCCAAAAGGTATGGGATTTTCTAATCCAGGGGAGGGGAAGGAGTGACCTGCCATATGCTGTTGGACTACAACTCCCATCATGCTTGACTGCTGGCTGATGGGAGTTGGAGTCCAACAACATTTTATATTGTGATTTTATGCCCTGAAAACTGTGGATATAGGGCAGTATGAAAATTTAATAAAAAATAATAATATTTGGACAAGTCACAGGTCCCCATCACCCTTCTACACATTATTCAAAGGTAGAGTGGCGGGCCAATATGGTGGAATTCTGACTTGCGCCATTTCAAAATAAAGGTGACTGGGCCGTATTTTGAATCCTTCCCTGTATAAAAATTTCCCTGCATATCATAGAATCATAGAGTTGGAAGAGACCACAAGGGCCATCGAGTCCAACCCCCTGCCAAGCAGGAAACACCATCAGAGCACTCCTGACATATGGTTGTCAAGCCTCTGCTTAAAGACCTCCAAAGTAGGAGACTCCACCACACTCCTTGGCAGCAAATTCCACTGTCGAACAGCTCTTACTGTCAGGAAGTTCTTCCTCATGTTTAGGTGGAATCTTCTTTCTTGTAGTTTGGATCCATTGCTCCGTGTCCGCTTCTCTGGAGCAGCAGAAAACAACCTTTCTCCCTCCTCTATATGACCTCCTTTTATATATTTGAACATGGCTATCATATCACCCCTTAACCTCCTCTTCTCCAGGCTAAACATGCCCAGCTCCCTTAGCCGTTCCTCATA